TAAATAAATAAATAAAAATAAAATAAAAAAAATATATATATATATCTATCCTAACCATTTTGAATACACAGATACAAAATGAACATTCATCTGTATCCCCTTTTTGATTAGTTCCGTGATTTGAATATTATAGGTGTGTTAACTCAGCCAAATATTCTAAAAGAGTCCAGTAGCCCATAATAGTAGTGGGTCTTCCGCTTCACTGGCAGTGTCAGAACTTGTTGACCTGAGTCCCCTACTGTGCTTGTATTTTTGAGGCAGGGCCTTGCCAGGGAGTTCAGGCTGGCCTTGAACCTACTGTGGAGCCAGGCTAGCTATGAACTCATGGCAGTCCTCCTGCCTCAGCCTCCTGAGTGCTAGGATTAGAGGTGTGCTCCACTACACCTGGACTGTGTTTTGTCTGGGACTTTCTGTTAGATCCACACAACATTTGCCGGGGTGGCACCTTAGAGCCATCTCCTGTCTTTACGCTGCTATGTGGCATTCCATGGAAAACCACAGTCGGAGGGCTCGTGGCCTCTCCCTGCTGGTGAGGGCTTGGGGCTCCGGTGATGCTTGGCGCTTGGGCAGTTTCCGAGCCCCCTTGGAAGCAGAAGGGGGTTGTGGGACAGGGAAGTCATTGTGAGCGACAATGCCCTTGGCAGACCCTGGACCCCTGTCTGCTGCTCCCACAGAGGCTGCCGCGGATGCCTGGGGAGGGACGAGAGGCCCACATTGGCCGGGCCCTGGGCAGTGTGGGCCCCAGCATGCTGCTCTGCAGCCTCTCGGAGACCATCTGCTTCTTCCTGGGTGAGCTCCCCCCCCCCCGGTCTGTCTCACAGGGCTGGTGCCAGGGCCTGGGAGCTCCTGGGGGTGGCAGGTACCAGCAGACCTCTGCTCTCTGCATGCTGCCTGTGATGCCAGCGTCCCCTGACATCCCTTCCCCTCCACAGGGGCCATTTCCCCCATGCCGGCTGTGCGGACCTTCGCCCTGACCTCTGGCCTGGCGGTTCTCCTCGACTTCCTGTTGCAGATGACGGCCTTTGTGGCCTTAGTCTCCCTGGACAGCAAACGGCAAGAGGTACCAAGAGACTTGTCCTGGCTAGGTCCCCCCTCAGCAGGAGATGTGGCCCCACTGCACAGAGGTAGCAAGAGTGGGAGGGAGCAGGGCAGGGCTGGGATATTTGGGTTCGTTCTCCCCAACTTTCATAGAAAGACAGTTTGGTTTTGGTAATTTGGGGAAACATGCCCACGCATCCTAAAGTACACAAGACTGTATTTATACATATATGCACAGCTAACATCTATCTATCTACCTACCTACCTACCTACCTACCTCTGGGTGTGGTGGTTCACATCTGTGATCCCAGCACTCCAGAGGCTGAAGCAGGAGGATCAACACAAATTTGAGCCCAGTCTGGATGACAATAAGTTTCAAGGCCAACCTGGACTACATAGTGAAACAAACAAACAAACAAAAAACAGAAAAACAAAACAAAATAAAAAGAAAAGGGAACAGGTTTTCATCCCCAGGACATGCTGCTGTGGCACTGCCCAGAGTGAGGCAGACCTGGGTCTGGTCTGGGCGCCCCCAAACCTCTGCATCCCTGCAGGCCCTCCGGCCCGACATCTTCTGCTGCATGACCACTAAGAAGATCCCCCCCTCAGACCAAAGCGAGGGCTTCCTGCTCCGATTCTTCCGCACAAAATATGCCCCCTTCTTGCTGCACGGCTTCACCCGCTGTGTTGTGGTGAGTGAGCCCCAAGGCTGGCAGGCAGAGTGGGGTGCAGGGAGCAGGTGCGCCCCGAAGTCTGCCCAGGGGGGGATGCTGCTTTGGTTCCCTGGCTGCACCCAGGCTCTGGAGCAGGGGGCGCTGTTGCCAAGAGGTCTTATGTGTTGTTCCTGCCCCAGCTGCTGCTGTTCCTGGCCCTCTTTGGAGTGAGCCTGTACTTCATGAGTCATCTTGTTGTGGGGCTGGACCAGGAGCTGGCACTGCCTGAGGTGAGCCTGGTGTCTTCCATGCCCCTGGTCCTGAGGCTTGGCAGCCCTGGAGAATCACTCATCACCCGGTGAACCAGGGGAGAGCAGCCACGACTGTGTCCGAGAAGTGTGAGAGCTCCGTGCTGCAGCATGAGGCGGGCTGTCTGAGAGATGGCCACATGCGGTGCCTGCCAGGTGCCCGCCAGGTGCCCGCCCTGTGTGTTAAACCCCCACCAACACCCGTTTCAGTTTTTATTTAGTGCTAGGATTCTCACCCAGGGTCCTGAAGTTGCTTGGTGTTTGGTCTCCCAGTGGGCTACGTCCCAACTTACTTTGATTTTTTGTTTGTTTGTTTTTTTTTGCAGAACTGGGAATTGAACTCAGGACCTTGCGCTTGCCAGGCACTGAGCTATCTCCCCAGCCCCTTTCACCTACTTTGAGACTCTTGATAATAGTCACTTCACACCCACAATGGAATGACTATTATTTAGATTATTTTTCCAGTTCTTTTAAGACTGTTATTGGTATTTTAATCAGGATCACATTGACTGTGTAGACTGCTTCTGGTAATATGTCCATTTTAACAATATTAGTTCTACTGATCCGTGAACAAAGGAAGTCTTTCCACTTTCCAATGTCTTCCTCAATTTCCTTTTCCAGTGTTCCATAATTTTCATTATAGAGATCTTTTACCTCCTTGGTTAGGCGGATTCCTACCTAGGTTTTTATTTTTTTTTTATAGCTATTGGAAATGGATTTATTTTCCCAATTTCTTTCTCAGAAGGTTCATTATTGGTGCATAGGAATGCTATAGACTTTTTTTTTTTTGCTATTGACTTTTGTATGTTGATTTTGTATCTTTTTTAAATTTATTTATTTTTATTTATTACATTTATTTAGTGTGTGTGTGTGTGTGTGTGTGTGTGGCCAGCTCAGCCCACCAGGGGGCGGGTCTGGCTGGCATGTGGTGCTGGGGATCGAACCGCGGTCCCTGTGCTTTGCCAAGCTTGTTTCAAGTAGGTGCTTTAGACCACTGAGCCATCTCTCCAGCCCCTTTGTATCTTTTTTTAATAGACAACATTAATTTTATTTGCATTTATTTTATGCTTGATTCCCATGCCATAAGTGTTTGTTTCTTCAGTTTCTTCTGGGATATCTTTTTCTTCTGTGCAACTTCCTCCTCCGGTTTGGGAACAGTTTGTTCCTTTTCAGTAGGGATCATCTCAATATGGCAGGGGGAGCTCATGGATGGATTAATCCGGCCGTGAGCTCTGTAAGTACGGCGGCGCATCTTGGGTGCTTTGTTCACCTGGGTATGTTCAATAAGCAGAGAATCTACATCTAAACCCTTAAGTTCAGCATTACTCTCTGCATTTTTAAGCATGTGCAGCAAAAATTCAGCACTCTTTTTGGGCCACCGACCCTGCGTCCAGCCCCATTGCTTGGCCTGGGCACACCTACCAACTCCACCATTGTAACGCCGGAATGGCACACATTGCTTCTTTAATGTGACATCCTTGAGATACTTGGTGGCCTCTCGGATATGCACACCCTTGATGGCCTGGGCAGTTTCACACAGGTTCCTAAAGTGAACATGAAGATTTGAGCCCCTTGATTTGCATGATTTTGTGGGGTTTTCTGGGTCGAGAGAATAGCAAACCATCTTCACAGGTCACCACAGGCCGCTCACAGGAAGAGCTTGGTTTTGTATCTTATTGCGCATCTTTTTACATACTTATTGGCCATTCTTATATCTTATCTGGGAAAATGTCTATTTAGCTCCTTTGTCTATTTTAATGTGTGTGTGTGTGTGTGTGTGTGTGTGAGCGTGTGTTTCTGTGTCAGCTCCGGCAGGTGTGGCGTTCAGGCACGCAGGTGTGGCGCTTGGATTTCATGCCCGTGGGTCATGCATGTCGAGTCTGCAGTTGTGGATGTTTCTCCCACTCGGTGGGTTGCTATGCCATACAGCTTTCCCGTTACTGGACACAATCGCCAACAAGCACAGCGTGAAGGAGCAGAGGTATATTTTGCCTCAGCTTGCTCCAAGGCAGAAAGGGCACAGCTGGGGCCAGAGAGAGAGCTCAGAGGCACGAAGACCTACCTGGCAAGCACAAGGCCCTGAGTTCAGCCCCCTGCCCTGCATGCTGAGCCAGCCCTGGAAGCCTGGCACGCTGTGCTGGCCCCAAAGCTGGGCATGGTGGTGCATGCCTGTTAATCCCAGCACTGTCAAGACAGGAGGATCACTGTGAGTTTCAGACCAATCTGGGGGTTACAAGAGGGAGCACAGGGCCAGCCTGAACTGCATAGTGAGACTGCCTCAGAGAGAGAGAGAGAGAGAGAGAGAGAGAGAGAGAGAGAGAGAGAGAGCTGGTCAAATAGCTCAGCGGATTAAAGCACCTGCAAGCAGGCACAGGGGTCAGGGGCTTAATTCCTGGCCTGCCATGCCAGCCCCACCCCCAGGGTGCACTGAGATGGCAATTGAGACTGGGCATGGTGGCGCACACCTGTAATCCCAGCTCTTGGGAGGCTGTAAACAGGCGGATCAATATGAGTCTGAACTAGTAGTGAGACCCTGAACACTCTGGACCCTTGCCTAAAATAAAAAAAAACAAATATCAAACAAAACAAAAACAGAAAGAAAGAAACGATATGGTCATGGCAGCCAGGAGACAAAGAGAAAAGGAGCCAGAGGCAAAAATCTACCTTTCCAAATCCCACCCAGTGGCCCCCTGCTCAGACCAGGTCCAGCAGCCCCACAGCACACTGCCTTGAATTTGCAACAATCCTCTTGCTTCAGGCTCCTGAGTACTGGGATTACAGGTGTGCACCGCCATGCTAGGCCTGGGGTGATATTTTAAAAACTAAAATTTAGGCTGGGGGTATAGCTTAGGGCACAGTGCCTGCCTGGCAAGTGTGGGGTCCTGAGTCCGATTCCTAGTTGAAAATAAAAATAAAAAACTGAACCATAACAGTTGCTTTGTTTTTTTAAAAAATGCACATGGGCCAGGGAGATGGCTCAGTGGAATAAGCGCTTCCCTGGCAAGCGCAAGGGCCTGAGTGCAATCCCTGGTTCTGACCAAAAAAAAAAAATAAAAAATAAAAAAATAAAAAATGCACAGATTTAAAAAATATCCATGCAGTCACATTTATTTTTTCTTTTGCTGGCTGTGTCTTGGGTCATGTCCAAGAAATACTTGCCAAAGCCAGTGCCATGAAGTTGCACTGTTTCTCCTACGAGGTTTATAGCTTCGAAGAGTTTTTGAGTCTTGATTTAAATTCTTGGTTCATTCACAGTTAACTTTTTTGTGTGTGCTGTGAGGTAAGGACCCTAACATAATTTCCTTGCAGGTAAACATTCAGTGTTTGAGCACCACTTGGTGAAAATTCTGTCTTTTCCCCACTGAGTAGTTTGAACACTCTTTCATAAAAAATAATTGGAGCATATATGGAAGTGTTTATTTTTGAGCTCTATATTTCTGTGCTATTGATTTACATGTCCTTATGCTGGTATCACTGTTTCAATTACTATAGCTTTATGCAAAGTTTTCAAATCAGAAAATGTGAGTTTTCCAAATTTGTTTTCTTTGTCAAAAAATATTTTTTGAGGGCTGGAGAGATGGCTCAGTGGTCTAAAGCACCTACTTGAAACAAGCTTGGCAAAGCACAGGGACCGCGGTTCGATCCCCAGCACCACATGCCAGCCAGCCCGCCCCCTGGTGGGCTCAGCTGGCCACACACAATAAATAAATGTAATAAATAAA